TCTCTCGTGTCCGTGGCTCGAAGAATGCCACGGGCATGGGGGGTGTCAAAGGGAACTAAACGCTAGGACACTTATCATGTACTTATGTGATTGTGCATTGAAACGCCGTACTGGCTCAAGTCCCTGCGCGAGGAAAAGTCCGAGCTCCGCTTGCAATGCCGTAACGCTGTCCAAAGCTACCAGCATAACGGGTATCACAGCTCAATAACTACATCCAGAACAAGGATCCATTTGTTCACAATATATATATATACATATATATATAATTAACCATCTAATTCGCGGGGTACCCATTTTGACCTATGCATTCAGGTTTCTGCAGGCGACGATCACATTACACTTCTCCGCAGTGATGGCCGCGTGGAAGCTGACGGATGGGAGTATGGCGGACGAATTGACATTCCACCATTGAAGGAGGGAACATTATATACCCAAGTTTCTGCAGGCTGCAGTCATACAGTGCTTCTGCGGAGTGATGGCACTGCGGTCGCATGTGGAGGCAATGAAATCCACCAATGTGATATTCCCCCCTTGGATGAAGGACTGTCATACACTCAGCTTTCTGCAGGCGAGTTGCACACAGTTCTCCTCAGAAGTGATGGCAAGGTGGTGGGTTGCGGACGCAACACTGATGGACAGTGTGACATTCCCCCCTTGGAGAAAGGGACGTTCTATGTCCAGGTGGCTGCTGGAGGCTTTCAAACACTGCTTCTTCGCAGTGACGGTACTGCTGTGGCTTGTGGAGATAATAGTTCTGGAGAGTCTGAGATTCCAGCTTTGGATGAGGGAATATCGTACATCCAGGTGTCTGCAGGCACATATCATAGCGTGCTACTTCGAAGTGATGGTCACGCTGTAGCTTGTGGAAGCAATACCGAAGGTCAATGCAACATTCCACCTTTGGATAAAGGACTAAGATATACTCAAGTGTCCGCAGGTCAGTTGCATACAGTGCTCCTCCGAAGTGATGGTCTTGTTGTAGCGTGTGGTTCGAATGATCGAGGACAGTGCGATATTCCCAGTCTAGAACCTGGCACTTCCTACGTTGGTGATATTCCACTTTGCGCAGACCTTGTTTTACAGTTGGATTTGGTTGGTGAAGATGATGCCTTGACATTGATTTCTTCCACCTTGGTCGGGGAAGAAAAAATCCGCTTGCAGGCAAATCAATCTGATGAGGCTTGGGAGATTCACAAGAGACTTGCGTCCGAACTGGAGGTGAACCTCCCAAATCTTCAACTGGTCTTGCCTGATGGGCAATTGCTGGCCAACTTTTGTCGGGCACATCCAGGAGCCACACTTGCAGATGTAAAAAGAACAAACCGCACAATTTAAGCAGTGCTTTTCACACACCACCAAGCAGAACTTGAGATGGAGATCTCCCAAAATAAGTCTACCATAGATTATTTTTTTTAAATACATACAGACATACATCATACATCCCATTATAAATTTATATCCCGATCATGTCCCATGCTATTATATATATAAATTTATATACCTAGACATCCAATCGTACTAGAAAAAGTACCCCCCCATGGTTTCGTACTAGTTTTCATGAAAACGCGTGAAATATGGCAAATCGTTCAAATTTTATTGAAATAGTAATCTTCGTATCGTTTTTTTTGAAACGTCTTACTTTTTAGGGGCACCAAGCACAAACGGTCAGAAAAACAGAACGCAACTCGAGCGCAATTTTGCGCAACTCGAGCGCAATTTAATTTGAAAAAGTAGTACACTTTGCAAAAATACACTAGCAAGATCGTTTACTTTTTGGAAGGCGACCACTTTTTTGTGAAACGTCATCGAAATTGTTGAAACGTCAACTTTTCAATTCGTGATACTTTTTTCTAGTACAAATGGACGTCCAGGTATATAATATATAGAATATACACCCCAAGACTCGTGGTTTCGCTATTTGAAACCCGGATATCGTGGGGACTCCCCAAGGTCTACGAAGACTATGCTGTCAAGTTCCAGGCAAAGTGCTGCCTACTTGAGGGTGCAGTTGAGGTGGAAAACATGGGTATAACTTAACCATGATTATCAAGCCCATCAGTTTGGATATTATAGCCCTAATAACTCCTAATAACTATAGTTTTATATCCACAAAAATATCTGGAACTGCAGTTTAACTGACTATAGTTTTATATCCACTTATAGCTGAAACTGCAATAACTGCACATTAGAAGGACCACGAGTGATATTGAAAACCAACTACAATGGGGATACAGTGGCATATATTAGGATTTAAAGAGATTCAATAATGGACTTTAATGTAGTAGGTATCATGGGATATCTATACTTCTGCACACAGATGACAATCACCAAAAAGATGAGCAAACATGGTGATTTTCCCCGAAGATCGGGGATACGAAAGTATATGAGATGTGAAATTTACCCTCTGGGAAACTAACACAGCCATGGAAAATCAGCATTCCTAATAGGGAAATCAACTATACATGTTCATTCTCAATAGCTACGTTCAATTACCGGAGGGTCACCAGATCTTTGACCCAAACATGACCTTCCAAGACCACCAGCCGTTGGCCATTCTTGTTCGTTTTCGGGTCGTTATGTTTGGCCAATGCTCGACCTGAAGTTGTCCTGTGCAGAACGTGAAGTATCAATCCTTCTGGCTGTTTTATCAACTCTTTGCGCGGCAAGACTTTGGATTCTCGGCGGGAAAAGTAACAACATTGCCGTACCATTTCTTAATATAACCCCTGTTCGTTGGATTGAAAAATCCCATTCAAATAATAGCAGGTTTGATTTTAAAACCTGCTTGTTCTTGCGACATTCCATTTTTTGTTGAGCACGAACCAGCTTGTTGTTCGTGAACAAACCCATATTTGGCTATTCTTTAAATCCCATTTTTTGCTAGAATGCCAAACAGTCTTTGGACATCTTTGGACCTTTGTGAGTGAAACGCAACAATCCATTCTGGTTGGTGGTATCGTGTTTGTTTGTTTTGATTTTAGATCAACCATAGAAATAGGATGATGATTTCCAAGTACAAACATATTTTTCAGGCATATTGACCACCAACCAGGATTTGTAACCAGTGAAATCACCATGTTTATTGATGATTGTTCATATTTGTTTATCTTCCAAAAAAGACGACTGGGACCTTTGTTAGTTAAAAGAATATCCCATTTGTTGTGCAACCGCTGATCTCCACTCAGGCAGCCTGGCCTCTCTACAGCTGTGCATGTTTGGCATTGGCCAGCGACAGCAGGCGATGATGGAGGCTCTGTATCCAGGCAGCACTGGGTGCCATAACCCCCATGCTATAAACCTGCCATTTGGGGATGGGTTATAAAACCCATTAAGGGTCATATTGGAGATAGTTTATGTTCATATATATATATACATACACATATGATTATGAAGATGATGAAGATGCTGATGATGATGATGAAGATGATGATGATGATGAAGATGATGATGAAGATGATGATGATGATGCTGATGATGATGATTAGTAGTACTACTAATTATATATATATATACATACATATGGGTTTGCCGCATTGCCCCTGTTGATTGCATATTATAGAGGGCTGTACCACCAAGTTTATATACAAGCCATCATAGGTATACTGTAAATATCTGGGGATGGTTCAAAGCCCTTTTTTTTACTGGTGAACAGCAAAATAGCCTGCAAATGGATGTTCACACCCGAACATATAATTTATATAGTGTCATAATGAGTTGACCCATCACTATATGGTCCAGACTCAGCAGCTGGGTTTTTGTTGCACCTGATTGTAGTTGCACGTGGTTGAACCCCCCGTTCTGTTGCTTACAACGTCCACCCCCATCTTAGGTTATACAACCATATACAGCCAGTTTCTTGGTAAGTGATCAACAACCATACCATACCCCAGTTGGATATGGAATGCACCCACTTATACGTGGGTTTTATATGGGTTTATATGGGTTATACGCAAGTGACTATTTCGTGGGGGTTTCCAAAAAAAACATCGATTTGGGATGATGATCCCCATATCATGCACGTCCAACAAGGATGTATCACTTCCCATACTGGACCGGCTTTGCTCCTTGGTGCAACCTCGTGGCGAACCGGGGCTGTGGCTTGTGCTTGGGAACTCAAAGCCCGATATGGTGTGGAACTGCGTGGAACGGTTGGATATGGTTGACATGGAAACTGATATTGTTGACAACAGATTTCCACCAAACTCGGCATTTCAGGAATTGAGGAATGCGCTAGGATTTTGAATATCATTATAGATATGAAGATGTCCACAAAGGTCTTCAAAGAACATGGTTTATTTGAATTGGTTAAATGTTGGTGCAAAACTGTACATTTCCGAAATGGATCAAACTGATGAATAATTAACTTGGTGTTCCTGAGCAAGAACTTACAGATGACAGGTTTAAAAAATGCATCTCAAAGCAACTGTGCATTGGGGATTGTACGTACCTGGTAGTTTGACTTGCCAGCTGGCAGTTCAACTGAACTATTTGGCTTTACAAACATATGCAAATCAGGGCGGTCACCTGACAGGAAGTCTGAGGGGTTGGTCCAGCACTTCCAAATTGCTTGATTTACGTCATGGCTTTGTTGCTTTGGATGTCTGTGAATTGCCAGGACCCATAGTGATTGCCAATGAGGAATGCCAAGGTCACCTCTGTTGTTTGATGGGGCTAAACTTGGGCCAACTTGGCGTTGTCCAAAATGATTTCATTGGGGCCAAAAATAACCATACATACAGCTGAATCCGCTTTCAAAATCGCACTAGCGTATATTCAACCACAAAAAATAGTGGGACTATCTATCTGTCTACGAATAGTTATGTATATTCACAATCAATTGCACCAATTTCAAGAATTATCATATGAAGTCCACATCCATCTAAATTATACATCTATCTGGATCTATCTATTGAACTCCACTATAGAACTCCTGGGGCTCCCATCCCCAAACACCTTCCCAGGTGGTGACGCAGCAGGGCGCCCCCGGCCTCTTCTCCCAGATGCGTCAGTCGGAGCTCATCGGCGAGATGTTCGGCAGCCGCATGGCCGCCATGGATTTGGTGGTGTCTCGGTGGCGATGAAAAGGGCCGGCCACCGGAAATTCGGTGTGTGAAGTTTGGTCAACATATAGCAACATGAAACGAAGGAAAAGGCACATCCTTGAAATTCTTGGTGGTAAATGAATCACTTAGTCACTTCTATGTTTTTTGGTGATTAAGGAGTTTATGTGGATGTAAACTATAGAATGATGGTTGGATTTCAGATAGATCTAGAGCTGCATGAGATGATAACCAACTTAGAACTGGGTGAGGCCACTTTGCTGCACACGTTTTTGATGAGATTCGAACTATTTTTCAACCACCAGATATTTTGGCCAATGAGATTAGAACTGAAGTTCTGACATAGCAATGAATGGCCTGAACTGGAAATCAAATGGTTTTACAGATCCATTTATAGATGGTAGGGACTCTTTACTGGTGCCCTGCTGTGGCTTCAGCCATACCTCGGATTTCTTTCACGACCTCGCTGCAACATTGCCTGGATTCTGATTACTGAGTTGTTATGAGTGATCCAGATATGCAAAAACATATGTTAAATTCGCAGATTTCCACATTGCAAACACCAATTTTGGATCAATAGCCGACCAGCTTTGATGGGGTCTAAATCGCAGTTTTCTCATGAACCTCTTGGCTTGTTCTTAATCTTATTTGTGGTTACCGAGGACATGTTTCAATGGCGAATCCCCTACCTGTTGATGGTAAAAGCGTATGTCACTAACTTTTTGCTAAATCATATAACCCATTCAACCGCCAAACATGAAGCCAAATTCCTATTATATATGTGCTTGTCAAATTCAAACTGTTGATGGGAAAACTACTAATTGCGCTTCTAAAATCAAACATTCTTGAATGGTCCACCTCGTCAACCGACGATCATTTAATCATTTACCAAGTATATCAGTATATATTCCCATATGTTTGATGATCAAAACCTGTTTAAAAGATGGTTAGTCAAATAAATCCCAATGTAACAACTAACTTCTAGATATTCGCACCGTTTTTGACAGATGTTTGGGGTTCCAATCACATCCCCACCCTAGTTACTATTTATTGGCCTAGAGTCCGAAACGGAGATTATTTGGAGTTTCAGGTGTGTCCTTTGTTACTCATCAAAACATGCATTTTTCAAAGCAGTGGTAGAAACACGGATTCCATGGCTGGAAGTAGAGCAACAGTGAGCAAGACGGGGGAATCATCCCATGGGATGACTGCCCTTTCAGGTTGGTGACTGAATATAGAATAAGTGAGTTATATCCATACATATCATACAATGGAAATGTATGGATATAAATATGTGATGTATATTTTATATCCATAACTTTGACATATCCATACAATTTATACTCTCTGGTTATGTCAAAATAGCTATGGAAAATGGCCATAGAAATAGTGGGTTTACCCAGATTTCAAAAAAATGTGATTTTCCATGGTTATGTAAACGTTTACCAGAGGGTATATATGGTGATGTAAAACAGGCAGCCCTGAAGTTACCGTTCCCAGTTACGAAGTGTTCAGCAATTGTAGTGCTCATATGGGCTCATCCTAGTAGCTCTGAGCTCACTGGGGCCTGTCAGGAATATCGCGCAGGGGTCACACGAAAGGGAGAGGAGTTTATCAAAGGTGCCCCGGTGGTGACAGGGACCTGGTTCTTCAAATTGCGGAGTTTACTGTACCAGCCAGGGGATTGGGTATGCAACCCATGAAAGCACATACCCCCGGCAAATTTAAATAGATGAGGAAACCCATGGGCTTCCCAAGGGAAATGATCTATGGACATGTTCAATGATTGTGTTAATTTACTGGATGGATCTGGATGTGTAGGATAGAACTCTTGAAAGCCCCGAAAACTGGATAGTTGCCTAGGCAACAAACAACCGAAATCCATAGCCGCAGGGTGACTCGACCAGCAACACCCATGACATGGGAGTGTAAGCACATTTCACTGGCACATT